TCATGYATCCAGCCCACTGGACATGTGCTTACCTTGAAATTATCACACCCTCCAAAAAATCATACCTTTGGGCCTCTGTAGCACAACTCAGATAGTTCAATATTGCTTTCACACATCACAAATAACATGTTTTAAAAACTGTTTCTTCGGTGGTAGTTTTGAGATACAGCCTCCATCCATCCACACTGGACAGACTGTGAAAGGCTGAAAGACCAACAAAACAAAATTACAAAAGCACTGCAACAGCTAATCATGCATAAGTGACTGGTGGAACCAGACATAACACTGTAACAAGCAACATGCCATTTATCAGAGCCTCTCATATTCAAAACCAGTGTATCCTCAGGTCTTCTTAACTTGGCTTGTCTGCCTTCCAATGACTTTGATTTCATGCTTACATTTCCCTGTGTAAATACAGTAACATTCATCCCCTATTTTCTCTGAAAGCTGCTGCTGATATACAGAAAATATAGTTTTCATGTGGACAACAGTTTCGATTTGAAATGTGTCACACTAGGGTTCATTTATGTTTTTAAGTAACATCAGAGTCACACTGGAAATGCTATACAGATTTTGGTACATGGTTTAATGTGCCAAACAAACCCTGTTCTGTCAAGCAGAAGAAAATTCCCTTCTGCAAGGCCACATTAAAATCACCTCCACATCACTTGAAAACACTGAACTGGCAACCTAACTGTCCGTCTATTTTATTGCCTCCACCTGCTGAAAGCAGCACTGCACATTATATTTTCACTTGAATATTAAAAACCAGCAACCAGATGCTTATGCAGCAACATCCAAAAAAAAAAAAAGAAAAAAAGAAAAAAAAACAAATTTCATCAACACTGAATCAGGACATAGGGGTGTTTCAGGGTTGTGTAATGGGATACAGAACCCTCGAGTTAAGGGTCCCCAGCCTGAGTTCAAGCCAGAGTAATCACTAATGAAATACTCTTGCCATACAAGACCCCAGGACCCATGCTGGTCTCTTGCCAGTGTGAAACAGGGATGTGGACACAGGCCACTTCTTCACAGGTGTCTCATGACACAGAATTCAGCATCACAAGGAAGGTCATTTGGCAGCCCAGAGGTCAGAGTTGGCTGTCAAGACAATTTTATCTGAGAAGCTATAGCAATTGAAATCCCAGCTGCTGCTGTGTGTTTGCAGTGGGAACGCAGAGGCAGAGCAGGCCTGGTAGATGAGCTCTAGCACTATGCATTCAAAGCCAAGGTGATCTGCTCCCCAAACACCTGGCACAGAGGAAGTGTCCCCAAGCACGTYAAAGTTATCCAGCAGTGCAGTCAGCATGTAAGTGAGCCAGCCTGGCAGCTCAGCCTGGACTAGGTTCTTTCRTCCCAGAGGCTGTCCTGAGCAAAAGGGAGAGCACCAGCACTGCTAAACTACTGGGAGGCAACAGCCCCTCTGGTGAGCATCCAGGCAGAGTGCTATATGGCATGAGGGATCTCACATGCTGAAATGGCAATAACCTATGTTCCACTTAGTGTGTTTAATTGACAACCYGAAATAAAAGTCATTCGTGGGAGTAAAGACAGAGAAGGGGTGGGAGGAAACCAGCTCTGCTTCTAGACAAGACTGTGTAAATTACAAGATGTTAATTACATTAAGTGCATTATGGTACCATATGCACATCACTAATAAGGCAGAGATGGAGGAAATGAGACTAGATGCTAGAACTGGAAGYTGAACGGCTGCATTCTAGACTTGATCTTTTAGAGAGTTTCTGAACCACTTTGTCCTAGTTTAGCCATCCATAAAACAAAGGCAATAATCCTTTCTTCACAGGGGCGTTGAGAGGTTTAATTAATTAATGTTTACAAAGTCCATTGAGATTTCTGACTGACATTTGAAGTAATTCAGAATACTTTTTAAATGCATTTGTTTCTTCTACTGCACTCGAATGTCTTCACATTAAAATATCCARAGGAGAGGAAGATGAAAAGAAAAAACAGAGATAGGTACACAAACTAGTGGGGAAAAAAACCCAACAACAATAAATTGAGCACTTCAAATCCACTGCTGTCCCATCAAAGCTGTCAGAACGCTACCATTTCTACAGATGAAGAAGAATGTGCTTGTCCAAACACCTGCCACTTTTACCTTGCAGATCTGTTAAACTTAGATATTTTTGTCTGTACCACCATATTGGTAAACAACAAGGTAATAAATGGCAGGAATAACAGGCAGTCGTCTCAAGTTGATTGGCTCACCAAAGGAAGTGAAGGGGAGAAGAGCAAAGAGATAAAAGCACCAAAAAGAAAACCAGAAAGTGATAAGAGGATGCTGGACAGAGAAAGAGGCGAGTTGAGTAAGGAGAAACCAATCATTAATAAGGGACTCCACACACTGAGATATTCTATGAAATGCATTCCCACAGACGCTCAGGTACTGGAAAACATTATTCAGAGAGACTAGTCTAGCATGAACAAGACCACACGTGTGCCCAAGTGCCAGAGACAAACTSAATATTGGACGCTTTTAAACGCACAAGAACACACAGGAGCTGCTTGATACCTGAGCTCGGATTTCTCAGTGCCCACATTGTCCCCCATCTCGGAGCAAAACCTTTGTGTGGCCGGTTTCTGTAGGGGGCGTTTGTGGGTTCTGAGATACAATCAAAACGCAGACAGAGGAAATGCAAATGTCATTCAGCTCCCGTTCATTGTCAGGAAGGACACATGAGGATAACACTGTACACTGCATCCCTCCCCTATTATGTGTCCTACTGCTTTTGTCCTAATTTATCCCATGCATAATTTATTTACATGTGTATTGTTTCCCGATCAGCAACTTTAAAGAATAAGTGAAAATTATAAAATGTTGTATTAAACAAGTTGTCAACAAAATTGCAGATAGTGTCAGACAGCCAGTACCAATTCTGCTTCCTCCACATAGCCTTAGTACTTTAAGAGGCACACAGAGAAAAGCGAACCCAGCACTTGATGTCTATTGTTTCCTCCTCTCACACCCTCCAGGGGCGAGGGGAGGAGAAGGGAGCTAATTATAAATGGCCTCATCCTGTCCCCCCCGGCTTCAGCAGCAGCGGGATCGGGTCCCGATTCATTTAGACACAAGCAGCCTTTCGGCAGGAGCCGCCGCGACTGCTCAGAGCTCCACGGTGCCACGAAGTGCGAGGCGAGGCGGCAAGGTCCCGTCCGCCGCCGGGGCGGGAGCAGGGGCCGCCAGCCGTGCTCCCGTGGCCGCTCCCGGGAGCTCCCTGCCTTCCACCCGCCGTCCCCAGAGGCCACCGAGCCTGGGCTTCCCCGCTGGCGGCAGCAGCCGCGACCGGCGCACACGTCCGCGGCCGCTCCGTGCCCAGGTGCGGAGCGGGTGCYGCGGCCCCGGGGTGCGCTGCCGGCGCCCGGCGYTCGGGAGGAGCGCGGAGAGAAATCGCTCTCGCCAGCACAAGCGTCAAACCTGCCGTCGAACGGGGAGCGGGGGGGGTCACGCTGCCTCTTCCGCGCGGTTTTCAGAGCGCGTTCAGTCCCTCGCCACCCACCCATGAGGATACTCGGACTTCTTTGATTAACCCTCTGCAACTGCGCTCCCCCCGTCCCCGTGGATGTTTATGCCCGAGAGGGCGAGTAAATGAAAGCAAAGGTYTATTCCGCCAGGACGGAGCAGGAAAGCTGATAAACATGTCAGCACCCCTTCCCAGCTCGAGGCTTTTCTTTCCCTCCGGATCGCAGAGAGACAGCGGCAGAAATCCCTGGAAAAACCTTCAAGTGTTTTTCCAACTCCAGCCGGAGAAGCCTGAGCGGGAGAAAAAAAAAAAAAAAAAAAAAAAAAACCTCGCAGCCCTAATTTAATCTCACAAAACTCAGAGGTATAAAAACACCCACTCAGCGCAGCCGGAAAGTGCAAACGAAGCGTCACCGCCAGGTACTCTGCTTCCCTGCTTTACTAGCAAGAGCGCTGCCCCCGTTAGCAGGGAAGTCGTTTCAAAAAGGTTAAGACAGCTCCTCTCCCCACATACGGTGCCAAATCCCACTCTCCCTAATGCCTTCGGGGATTAGCGGCGTGCGCTGCAGACCACAAGGAAAATAAAGGACGCGATCCAGAAGACGACAACCGGCTCCAGTGGTGCCCCCTCAGAAATCAGCCGGGGAACCCCGGAATACCTCCCCAGTGGGAATACCTGCCCCCTCCCTCCCTCCCTCCTTCCCTCCCTCCCTTCTTCCCTAGAGCTGGGGTCAGACCCCGTCCGCGCAGCCCTCGGCGGCTTGCGCCCGCTCTCAAGATGGAAACACAATCAACTCTCTTTGCCACTTTGAAAAGCGAAAGCCTGTCATATGCAAAACAGATCTCCGGACTTCCTGCCCAAAATCAGCAACCGGCAGTCCCGAGTCATTCATTTCACCCAAGTCTGCTTCCCACCCTCTCCCCTTCGCTCCCTCTCCCGTACGAGCGCCGAGACGCACCAGCAGAGCCCCAGCTGCCCCGCTTTCGACCGCCCAGCCGAGAAGCGAGAGGGGCCGCTTCGTCAAGACATTCCAACTCCCCAAAGATTTGCGGAGGCAACTCCGAGCCGCGGTGGGAGCGCGGAGGCACGGGGCACCGAGCGCCCCCGCGGGCCGGTCCGTGCCCCGCCGAGCGCGGTGGCGGGGCCAGCCCGCCGGGGCAGCGAGGGCAGGACGCTGTCAAGTGCGCGCACCCCCGCGGGACGCGGCCGCCGCCGACCCCGCGCTGCGCCCCGGGAGCGCCGGGAGGGCTCCCCGCCGCCGCCCGCCGCCCCTTCTCCCCCCGCCCCGYGCCCGGGCGCCAATTAACCCAACAATTTTTTCCTCGTTAATTTCGGCGCGAGCCGTGGGGATGTGTTGCACAAAAAAACGAGCGAGCCGCTGGGGCAGAAAGGAGGGCGGGAGGAGGGACCCGCCGGGAGGCTGCCGGCACCCGGCTCCGGCTGGCAGTCGGCGCCGGAAAGGCGCCTTTTTTCATATTTAAACCACGCGGAATATGTACATTTTTGATTCCTACTTACGCTTTCAGGGGGTTGTGAATGACAGTCGCCATTTTGCTACAATGTAACAGAATATTGTGTCTCGGAGTTCTAAAGGTTCGCTCAGGGGAAGCGGCCAGCCAATGGCAGCGCGGCATACCGGCCCGCCAGCCAATGGCGCGGCGGGGGCGGGGCCGGGGCGCTGCTAGTTATTAGGGGAGCTGTCAAAGCCCAGAGGTCACTCCCTCTCCCTGGAACTGGCGGCGAGCAGGTCTTAAAGGGGCAGCGCCGCCGCCGGGGCCGCCGCAGCTCCGGGGGGCACGCCGGGCTCCAGCGCGGCCGGGACGGCACTTCCCCACCGCGCTCCGGCCCCGGTTCGAACACGCCGCACCGGGAGAGGGAAAGCCGGGCTCCCTCCTCGTCCCCTCGCAACGTCGCCGCTGCCCCCCCGTTTCCCAGGCGGCGAGCCCCGCCGGGGGAACGAGCCCCCGCCGCCCGCTCGCTCCGCACGCTGCCCGGCGGCGTCCTTCCCCTGCCGCTTCCCTTTCTCCACAGCCACGCTCCCCGCCAGGTCTCCGTGAGCCGCCGGTTCTGGCAGCGGCTTCAGGGCAGCGCCGCTCCCGCTCCCCCTCCCCCAGGAATTTCGCTCTCTCTGTCAGTCATCCCGGCCCGCAGCCCCTGCGCCCTTACATAACGCACGGCGGCCGGACCGCCCGCCCGGCCCTGCACARCCCTGCTCCTCTCTCCCACAGAGCAACTTGTGGGGAGCCGGGCCCCCGCCTCCGTCCGGCACAGAGAGCCGCRTGGGGGAAGAGCCCTGACCCGCGTTTCACCGGACACTTAGCCCTGCGATGAGACACAAGCGGGAGGCTGGACCCCGGAGCGCGGCAGGGAGCAGGCAGAGCCCATTCCTGGGGAGGCAGCGAACTCCAGGAAGTCTGGGYTTACCTGAAACTAATTAAAGGAGCTTGCAAATGAATTATGGRGCATGACCCAAGTGATTTAAGAGGTGTCAATCCTGATCTCACTCTCAGAAGTAAATCGACTGAAGTTCACGAAATTGCTCCAGTGTAAATTAGGCGTCAACAAGAGCAGAATGAAACAAAGAAGTTTTCTCCGTGTCTGATAGTAATGTCAGCTTTGTCTTCTCATAGTTTTCTCCCTCTCAAAGGTCTTGTCTCCCCTCRGGCATCCTCTATCCCTCTAAAAAACACGAACAACCACCACCAAAACKAAGCCTGCATCCCCATTCTTTGCATCTATACATTCAGAAGAAATTCAACTAAAGATTATTAAAACACAGTACTGTCAAAGCAATAAAAGGGAGGAAACTAGCAAAACAATTTGATAACGAATAATGGAAGGAGTGATGTTCATGAGATGTTAACAGAAGTAGAAATGGCAATCTTCCTGAGCTAGTGGGCTGAACTAGTAAAAGTAAAAAGACAACCAAAATCTCTCTTGCTCAACTTTTTGACAAAATAAAACTTTCCAAATCTGGGCTGAAAGAGAAAAGGAAGAGGAATGGAGACCAGAGAGATTATAATTATTATTCATCGTAGGGCAGGGACACAAGTGTAATGCAGTGGTTTCCCATTTATTAAGGATTCACCAGAAGTCTGCAGAAAGTTAAAATTTAAGATCTGTCTAGGGTCCTCTTTCCAAAACATTGCCTATTCCAACTACTAGGTCAACTTAGGTACTGTGCCAGGCATATATCCCTGGAGGGAATCATCTCTTCCATCAAAGCAATCTAAGCCATTTGGTTACAGGCACTGCTTAGGAGAAATAAGCTTTCTGTCAGCTGGAGAGTTGCCAGGATGCTGAGCTCTGTCCCAAAACAGTTCTGGGAAGTAATCTTTAAGAACATTCCATTATCGTATTACATTATATTATTTAATATAGTAGTGGTCCAGGTGACATTGAATGTGACTTCAGACCCTCCTGCTCAGTACTCTCACTGCTCACAGGAAAAGCTAACCACAAACTGCCGACTTGTCATAAGCACACTGTTGATGTGCATGCTGCAAGGAAACAAAGGGCTTAGCATGCATCTGAGCTGGTGACCACGGCCTAGCAACCTACATCCCATCTCACTGCTAGGAGGATTTCTGGTTGGACTGTTCTTATTGTTGTGATATTCGCTTAATGGCAAACACTTGAGCACTTACTGTAGGATGGGCAATATTCACTTGTGCGATAACAATGGTTTTGCTTCACACATAAGGAAAAAAAAAAGAGCCGAGGACTGTATCACACTGCAGAACAGGAGACGGATTTGTGTTACTGAGAGAAAGCACCAAAATCCAGCCAAGCTCTAAAAAACCCTGAGATTTTCTAATGCAAACTGGTGACATTTTCAGATAATTAAGAATTTCGTTGGAGGTCATTTTTAGGAGTTAAATGAGTCCCTCCAGTCCCGTTTTGCTGGATATATAGGTCCATTCCTGCTGTGCAGGCAAAGAGCTCTTGGTGCAGCTTGCCAGGGACTGTACTGCAAAAACAGGATTAAGCCACACATGCTTCCCTGGCTGCTCCTGTTATTCAGACGTTGGGCCTTTATCAGCTACCAGCAAAAGCAACAAACAGTGAGAACAGGCACAGATGACCTTGGATTGTTGATAGCCCTTTTCCCAGGCAGACCCCACATTCCTGCCTAGGAGAACCAGTCAACAGCACTGCCTTGCTCAGAGGAATCTCCAGGACGCCCAAGGACAGAGCTGCCACATCAGAGCAGTGGGAAGTCTCACCCGCGGTAACAAAGACATCAGGCTCTGCTCACATGTCCATATAATTTTCCCAGTGTGTTTCATGTAGAATCCCACAACAGTTAGATTGCCATTTTAGCTGAAGGAAAAGGCACAGARAACTGACTGGCATTTCACTTGTAATGAACTACAGAACTTGTTTACATGTTCATTATTTGCAAGTAGGGGGAACATTACAAACCTATACTAATAAAAATTTTATGCCACCCCATAATTGCCTCCATTTTCACATACGTGCCAGACCATCACTGGTAGACCATTTMTTACCTAAATTTTAGATTAATTTTTTTCTGGTTTTAGTGCACCATAAGTCACTAATCAGTAGTGTTACTACTGTTTTATATCCCACAGGACCAACACAGCTGAAACACATTCKGTTACATATACACTAAATTACAACTTCAGTATTTTTACATTTGTACCTAGTTATTGTTAGTTTTATTCACACTCACCTGAAATAGAACAAGGAGGCTGCAAGAAAATACAAATAATTTAGAAGTATATGGCATAAAAAACTCTAGGTGTGCATATTCTTAACAAGAGCTTTTCCAATGTTTGGACAGCCAACACACAAATTTTGAAAAAGAAAGGCAAGTTTTGTCATAAATCTACTGGGATAGCAYGTATTGCATTGAGACAAGGCCTAAGAACGCTGCATCTACAGGGTTAGAGTGAGCAGGGCTTTAGAAGAGAGCTCACCACCACAGCTCCAGCCTCTGACATAGAACTGCAGCTTGTCTCCACCCAAGTAGAAGAAACACTGTGTCATATCTTCTCAGTCTATTRGAAAGTGCCAAGATTCATGGATCATAATGCTGCTCTCCTGATCCACCTCAGTTTCAAACATTTGTACTCTTTACATAACACAAGCGCATTGATACTTTTTGTGAGGTCTCAACAATATTCCTGTTCACCCTRAAAAGCCTTATTTTGGCTATTTCACTATGAAAGAATTTTTATCCTGTATTTACTATCTTCTGCTTTCCTTTTTATCTTACTAAGTTTTAATGTAGACTTGCTGTTTTCTGGAGGTAGGGAAAGTTAGGTTCTTATACATTCCTGAACTCCTGTGAATCGGAAACCGAAACAAACTAGACACCAACATTGAAAGCCACAAATCTGATTTTGCTATGGAGGGAAACATAAAAAAAGCTGAAAAATAAGTGGCTTCTGGTAGATTAACAACTGTTTAATGTTCTCAGATAATTCCAATGATTTACAATTTTCTTTTATTCATATATATTAACATTCAAAGTATCAGATTCATATAGGTCTAAATAAGACAGTGTGCTGTAACGTAGCTTGTCACAGCAAAACAGGGCCCCACATGCACAGATATCCTGCAAGAGATTTGAAGCTTTAACCCCTTTTTATTTATTAAAGCTGTGCAGGCTTCTCTCACATGCTGTTTTTTGTCAGCCCTCCTCCTCTCTTTCTTTGATCTTTACCAATAGTTGCTTAGCTGAAAGAGGAGGAAAAGATATCAGAGTGTCAATGTTACAGACTCAACACCAGCCCTCTACAGACACATCACCAGAAAAAAAATAACGTAGTCAGCATAACAAAGATAACTATGGAGTTAAACAGTGTAAAAACTGGCACCAACAGTTCATTCTTCACAACTTTGGGAATTGTACTGATGAAAGGGACTGCAATTTTTTTTTTTAAGCAAAATTTCCCAGGTATGACTGTAGCAACAATTCTTGGATGCCWTCAGTCTATCTTGATTTCAGGCCTGACACTGACATCCCAGTTTTAACTTTTGCATGCACTATTCAGTTCTCTAACAAGTACACTTGAATTACTTGTATGCTGATGTCTGGACTCAAGTCCCTTTATTTTTTAATGGATATTTTGATAAAATAAATACACTAAGGAGGAGTYTCTACTAGTAAGAAGTTACATTGAGGCTTCAATCTGAAGCTTTCAAAAGTTTGGGGAGACAGAAGTTGTTTAAGTTTCCAGAGTCTGGCTCAAGTCTGTCCCTGGTTTAACAAACTGCTGAAAATCTGTTTARTGTGGCTTCCAGAAGATTCTTTGTCATGTATTATTTTTAAATTTCCCCAACAGTACCAAATACTGATATGAACAAGCTGCTTCAAAAGGTCACTACAAGTCTTGCTGGTAGCCACTGCAAAACCCAGTAATAGTAGGAAAAGGAATCTAATAAAACAGACACATGCTCTGAAGAACTCACATTCAGTAACTATGATTGTCCTCTTCTTGAGGGGAATCACTGGTAAAATTTAGATGGGATAAAACTGAGTATCCATCATGAAGCACATGATTTACACATCCAGAGACCCTGGCCTGTCTGCCTTAGTTCTTAAGTAAATAACT